AGAATGGCCATTAATAAAAAGTCAAAAAGCAATAGATGTTGGCATGGATACAGTGCAATGGATGCTGTTGCTGGGAATGTAAATTAGTACAACCTCTATGGAAAACAGCACGGAGATTCCTCAAAGAACTAAAAATAGACCTACCATTCAATCCAGCAATCCCAATGGAAAAGAAATCACTACATTAAAAAGATACTAGGTACTTATCCAAAGGAAAAGAAATCACTGTATCAAAAAAGACACCTGCAAATGAATATTTATCACAGCACAATTCACAATTGCAAAGATATGGAATCAACCTAAGTTCCCATCAACTAATGAGTGGATAAAGAAAATGAAATACTACTCAGCAATATAAAAGAATCAAATAATGTCTTCTGCAGCAACTTGGATAGAACCAGAGATCACTATCCTAAGTGAAGTGTCTCAGGAATGGAAAAGCAAATACCACATGTTCTCACTTATAAGTGGGAGCTAAACAATGGGTATATATGGCCATAAAGTGGTGTAATAGACATTGAAAACTAAGAAAAGGGGAGGTTGGGGGAGGTAGTGAGGGATAAAAAATTACCTAGCAGGTACAATGTACACTATTCTAGTGACGGGTACCACTAAAAGCCCTGACTTCACCATTATACAACTCATCCACATAGCAAAAAACATTTTATCATCTAAATGTATTAAAATTTTAAAAAATTTTAAAAAGAAAAATAAATTGACTGAAGGAAAGGTGTTTTATAGGATGGTCAGAGAAAGCTACTCAAATAACATGAAGTATGAGACATAAGCAAGGACGGTGGCATACTTATTTGTCAGTGACTTAGACTAGAAACTTTGAAAATTTTTTTAACTTTTTTCTCATAAATATATATCTAATTGAGTGTCAAATGTGGCAAAATGATCTACTGAAATATTACATCTAACATATTCCTGATGGATCTCTCCAAAAGAATGAGAGGGTTCTTTTGTTTTGTTTTGTTTTGTATTCTCAAGAAGGCAAATAAACCTTTAGTTTATTTGAAGGCAGTAGTTTTTATCTGAAGGCAGTAGTTTCTTAAAGGTTAGTTGCAATGTGAAATTGGAAATTATATCAACGAACTTTTCATACTCTCTTAAATTAAAATCTGTTTGTCTACCTTGCACTTTGAATGGATCTTTTATCTATGCATGATTTTTTTTCCACATCACGCTTTGGTCATTTTGAAAATATTAGTTTTAATAAGTTATCTGGATCTTCCAAACAGTCGACACATTTCATTGTACAATATCAAAAGATCACACTTGTTAATGTCACCATTGAGCCTATCAAAAAATCTTGATAGCTTGACTAGGAAGCTATCAAGCTCATGGGGTAAAAACAATTTCTCCAAAATTCTAATTTTCGCTTGAAAGTTCAAAATCTATCCTTGACAGCAAATACTACTAGTTGTTCCCCTTGACATGATCAGTTCACTTCCTTCATCTTCGAGAAAATGGCTGAATGCCAAACACCTAAGCATAATAACCACAGTTTGCCAGCCATTTTTTTCAAGTAAAAATAGTGTTCCACCAAAAAAAAAGGAAAGAAAGAAAAAACTAGTTCAGCTTGCAACTCATTCACACCAGTGCTCTTTCTTGAAAGAATTATCATATTGCAATATGCAGCTGAGTGCTTTATATGGACTACCCATTTTGACATACAGGATATTCAAAAGACATTTCCATAAGGTTCAAAATTTAATAAAATTTATCACTGTTACTGCTTCATCAAAGATCAAGAACATGCTTAAAGAAAAGCAGCACTGTTTTTACTACAAGCTATTTACTGTTTCATGGAGGATCAAGGACATTCACAAATAAAAGTGGGATTGTTTTTACTGTAAGATATGGCAGTAAAGAATACAACTACCAGCAGTTTGGTGCCATTGCCTTTATTTGTGCTAAAGCACCAGAAGTTATACCCACAATTGTCTTCTCAACAGCAGGTCAAATGTTAACACAATGAAAACGGCAAATGATGCCTTATTATGATTATGAAAGTAGTTTTGACCTTGTGAATCCCTTGAGAGGACCCTGCTAAAGCAATGTTTCTAAAACAGAATTTTTGTATGTCACTCCCTTGCTCGAAAGATTCCAATTGTTCATCATTGCCCACAGGGAATTTTAAAAAAGCAAACTTTTAAATTTTGATTTTAAACTTTACATAATCTTACACTAATCTATCTGTCATTTCATATGCTCCTTAATGCAAACTGGCTCTAGACAAACGTAACCATTACTAGTTCTATTATAAACTTTGGGAATCTGCGGTTTCTCACAAATGATTTTGCTATTTCTTTTGCCTGAAGTGCCTCACCTTCTCCTGCATTCTTTATATGCAGGTCCTTCCTTGTGTTCAAGGTCCAACTGCAATGAGGCCTAAGTAGATATCATAGATACTTCCTCTGAATGCACTCAGCACTTTGTACTTCTCCCATCCCACTTATTCTCTACCTGGAAATAACAACTCACATTTCCTGAAGCCTAGCAAGACACATTACATACAGTTGGTGATAATAAATACTTGAAGAAGCAAGTGTTTGGTTGCATTCAGCCATTCATTTACGTGTTTCACTTGCCGCTACCATAAGAGATTGTTGGCTGAGGTTAGGGTTTAATGTCTTTGTTCCTGAGAAAATTATTTTTCATTGTGAAGCTTATTACGGTACAAAGCAACTCAACTCATGATCTTGATCTCATTAGCCAGTCTGTTCTCCTTAACATTCTCAGATTTGTATAAAGATCTGACAACCAAAAGCATAAGGATGTTAAGATACTTTGAATTGTGTAGAAAAGCATTGATTTTTAAAGTTATGTTTGAAGGTTTATTGAGACAATATTATCATTTAGTTATTTTCCTTAAACACCCAATAAATTACTCAGAATAAAGGAATTGCCCCCTAAACACGGCCATCTCACTGTTTTCCTTCTGGTTTCGTACTTAATTATTTTATGGACTATAATGAAGTAGTATAATATGATTACAAAATGCTCATACCTAAATCACTTAGTACAGATGATTTTTTAAATCAAAAGCAAGCTACATATGCTGCCAATAAATTGGATTTGAGACTAAATAAAGTTTACCTTTGAGAGAATTTTAAAGAGCTAGTTTCTTTTCACAGAATATCTTGAGAAAAATGTAGAATGTGAAAATGAAATGAGGTTTCAGTTCCTTTTTCCATTCATCTGTCTGAATTTGGACAAAATCTCACATATTTCATCTTCAGTGATTATAGGTATGAAAGAATAAGATACATGTGTTATCTGGCAGCAGATAAGAATTGGTACCTATTTTACTATCTTTAGATCATTGAGAAATGTGCATCTATTTTCTCTAGAGGTAAAATGGTATTTATAATGAACATATTAAAGAACTTACAAATAAAATTGAAACCCTTCTACTATTACCAATCGAATCATTATTAATCTCAGGGTTCAATGAAATGTATTCTAGTGTCAAGCATAAAGCCCTTGCTGTGTTAGTTCAACAGTCTAGAGGACAGTCCTGCAGGTTCCCATATCTGTTCTGGAGTCAAAATTCAGACATGCACCCCGCCCCCCAATCTCGACAACTTTATACCTCTACCAAATGGTGCTTGCTCCATAATGAGCCATTACGCTGATGGTACTGCTGCTAAAAGCCTCACAGAAGAATCCAAGACAGTCTAAAGAGATCTTCTGATCACTGATGCTCCTGCTACTACCATCCCCATTGCCCACGAGTGGATGCTGCTAGCTATGCCCAAGGGTCAAGCGGGTGGTGGGATGTCTGGCTCCAGTCACTACCACCTGAGCTAGACCAGATTTAGCAGTCTCTGGAAGGATTTTTTCCAGGTATTGGGGAGGGTAGAGGATAATCAGTTCCCTTCCCTACTCATTGCTCTGTTCAGCCTAACCTGCTCCACACCAGTTGTTTCCAAACACTCACGCAGTCTCTTCCCTACAATACAAGCTTGTTTCCGGGAGAATTTGTTGGGGACCATTTCCCTTGTGTGCTGCTGGACAGACCTAGAGCTTCTGCTTCTTTCATCTGACCACCGGACTTGGTTCAGAGGCCACACCATACTTCCTCTCTTTTTCTACCTCCATGGTAGTTGTGCACCAAGGAACTCACTGATCAGAGTAACACAATCCTGCCCCACGGTTTCCATTCACTTTTCACTCCTTCTCTGCAGTAGCCTTCGAGCATGCGTTTCAATAGCTTCTCACTCAGATGGAAGAAAAAGACAAAATTCTGCTTTTCTGAGGTACCTCCCATATAGAAATTTTAGTTTTAGTGAAATTTTAGTTTACTGAAAGCTGCTGACTTATTACAACATCCATTTGTTAAATCTATCCTGAATTCAACGGTATGTGCAAGTGTTTCCTCCTCCACAAATTATTCCATGTGGATTTTCTTTCGTACTCTTACTTTCCCTGAATAGCAGACATTTCTACTTAAAATATCATTTTGTCCATTTTAGGACTTGGGACATTGAAGCTGATATCATAAATTAAAATAGTTAATGATTAAATAAAGAAAGGCATCAGGCGGTGATGCTTTTGTTCCACAGATCTTACAGTTTAAGTCATTTTCTAACCAGCAACAATTTCAGTTTTTGTTGAAAGAGTCCCGAATAATTTGAGAGGAGGTGAGGAGGAACCTAATGGAGTGGAATCAAAATTAAAATTGCTGAATTAATCCAGTAACTGCCTATACCAAGGAAAGAATGTATATGCATGTCCCTTAAAGTTTCCACATGCATGTTGTATTTGTTATGAGTCTACTTCATTCTCTTGCATTATTTGGTGAGTGTTCCATATGAATAGACTTCAACAGACTTTTGAAACATGGAATCGGGCAATGTATAGCTCAACCCATAGAGTAAAGATGACACTGTTTGGTCTTCTCGTCCTATGTGACTATACAAGTATTTTGCATTTCTTTTCTTTGAATGGCCCTTTTTAGGCTATTAATATTTTTATTATATTTTGCCTAGTTGGGTACACAATGAATGATCTCATTTTTGAATGGCAAGATGAAGCACCTGTACAAGTGGCAGAAGGACTCACTTTGCCCCAGTTTCTGTTGAAAGAAGAAAAAGATTTGCGTTACTGCACTAAACATTACAATACAGGTAGGGGTTGAGTAGTCTTATTTACATCTGTGACTTGTGGCTTTATGATATCTAGATGCTTCTTAATTATAATGCTAGGATAATTATTTTAACTATTCATAGCTTGATATCTTTCATTGATGCATGACATCAGTGGGTGTCATTTGAAACTTATTAACTGTGACTCATTACATACTGTTAAATAATTGGTTTGTATGGGACCAAAGAAATTTCTGGTATCCAATTATATTTAAATGTTTTTGTGAAATGCCCATTCTTATATAGTAATATTGTTTCCAAAAATGTCCCTTTAATTTCCATGTGAGCAATAAAAATATATTTTTTAACCCTTCTTGGGCAATAAAAACTGTCTCTGCTAACAAAAAGAAGTTGCTTTTTTAAAAAAAGGCTTCATTTGCCTAAACTTTCCCTTTGTCATATTTTCATGCATTTCAAGGTATTTTTCTCTAAGTACCTACTACTCACACTGACACAGGAGCCTTTCTCATTTGAGGTAGATGTCAGATGTAGTTATAATATTAACATAAAGGATTGAAGGACTCAATCTGATTATTTGTACATTGAGAAAGTCTGTTCACTTCCCTTAACTGGCATAAGCTATTTCCATAAAACCTATTCTGATTGTATAAGCTACTCCTATGAATTCCATTAAACTGCGCACAATTGAGACATCATTCCACTGTGATGAGAGCGCGGTCTCCCACTAGCATCAGCTGCTGCTCTTATCATTTCATTACAGTAACTATGATTCATCTTGGGCTCCGCATTTTCCAGAACAGTGATCTGACTTTTCCCTATACAAAATCCCTAGTCTCTCTTATCTACTTAAAAATTCACAATATCTGATAAAAAAAGTCACTGCCCATTTTGTCAACTCAGAGATGAAGCTGATATCTAACTTATTTGGGAGTTAAAGGTTAGAAATCCCAACACAAAGATAAAGGGTAGGCAACTCAACAGCGATGTCCTTGCTCAGCATTTACAGGCAGTTGTATTAATGAATTCCTTTCAGAGAAATGCTAACGAGTCCCTAGAGTTGGGTTAGGGAGGTGTATTGGTTTCCTGGGGCTGCCATAACAAACTGTCACAAACTTGGTAGCTTAAAACAACAGAAATTTATTCTATCACAGTTCTGGAGGCTACAAGTCCAAAATCAAGGTGTAGGGAGATATTATTCAACCCAGAATAAGGGGTGAAGTTGTAAACATCACCTGGAGATGAATATTTTATGATAGTCTCAAGGCCCTTCCTTAGCATAAAGTAAGTTTCCGTATTTCATTGAGTTATCTGCCAAGCTATTGCAGCTTAGAGGAAAAGAACTTACATTTATGAATCCCTACTATAATTAAGGAATTGGAAAGGTATTTTCTTGGATGACATTGTAGAAATCTCACAACTTTATAGTCTAGGCAATTAAAGCACAATAACTTGCCCAAAGTTACATAGAAAATAAAATAGTGTCCTCAATTAGGTGTGTGGTTAATTTCAGACCTTGAGCTCCATTTCATATTTACTCCTACAATGCACAGGACTCCTCTGTTAATTTGCCAATAATAGGCTCAGATACTACATAGTTCCCCTAAGTTACTTATGCAAATGCAAAAAAAAAAAAACACAAAAACGCTAGGTTACATGAGAACCATACTTGTAAATACCTTCCCCCTATAAAATAAAATATACTGAAGTTAAAAATGCCTTCATACACAAGCGAATTGCACGAACTTAGAGGATTTGTTCAGTTATATTTTCATTATCCCAGAGTATTTATTGATTATGTATTACAAGTCCCTATGATCTGTCTCATTCTAATATTCTCTCAAAAATCTTCTACCTCTCTTCCCCTTGCTCCATAATCTGCCACAGTGGCTTGCTCTCTCATAAACACCAAATTCGTTCCTTCCCTAGGGCCTTTGCACTTGCTCTTCCTTCTACACGTAAGGGTTTTCCCAAAATTGTTCCAAACCTAATACTCTCACATCCTGCAGTACTACTCAAATGCCAACTCTTGAAATGTCCTTATGTAACAAGCCTATCTTAAACACCCAAAGCCCCGTCCACTTTCTGCTTCCGCTGTCTGAAATTGTACCATTCATTTTTATGTTTACTTATTTATTGCATGTTTTCTTCATTGCCTTAAGTTTGTATTATATTTATTCTGTTTAAATCTACATTTTTGGGGTGTGCTTCAATGTATAGGTGATGAATTTTTTTTGTCCAACTTGTTCATTTTTCTCTTTAGAACCACACAGAGTATATGTATTAATATACAAGCAATGGTGTGTATGTGTACATGTGTATACTTTTATTTTCCTTTCCAGCAATATATATAATTTTTAATTTTCATAGATACATAATAGTTGCACATATTTGTGGGGTACATGTGGTATTTTGTTAGGAGCATAAAATGTGTAATGATCAAATCTGTTTTTCTGTGCCTGGCTTATTTCGCTTAACATAATGTCCTCCAGTTCCACCCATGTTGCTGTAAATGACAAAATTCCATTCTTTTTTATAGCCAAATAATATTTCATTGTGCATAAATACCACATTTTCTTTATGTATTCATCCATTGACACATAGGTTGATTCTATTAATTAATATATGTTGGCTATTGTGAATAGTGCTGCAATAAATAAGGAAGTGCAGGTATCTCTTTGATACACTTATTTCCTTTCTTTTGTATATATACCAAGCAGTGGGATTGCTGGATCACATGGTAGTTCTATTTTTAGTTTTTTGAGGGATCTCCATACTGTCTTCCACAGTGCCTCTACTAATTTACATTCTCACCAACAGTGTACCATTGTTCCCCTTTCTCCGCATTCTCACCAACATTTGTTATTTTCTGTATTTTTGATAATAGACATTTTAGCTGGGGTGAGATGATATCTCATAATGGTTTTGACTGGCATTTTCCCTGATGTTGGGCATTTAAAAATACTTTTTTAAAAAATGAAAACACAATGAGAGCTTATTTTTTTTTTAAGAATCACCTGAAACTTTGAGAACTCACACAAATTATCCAAATGGTCACTAACTATTACTAATCATGCCATGAGATTACTTAATAGGTTATTTAACAGTGATATCATAAAAATGTTTCAATTATTCAGGCTCCATTTCATTATTTTTAATGAAAATTTTAAAAATTTTATATTTAATAACACTCTGAAGTATTTTCATATATTTCAAGAATCTTTAGGCATTCTGTATGTATTTGATAAACTGATAAAAGGATCGTGTGTGACCTGTATGTATGTTTCTGATTAATACACATTTTAAGAGTGGAATCCAACTTTCCTGAAACTTATGAACTTTTGTTGAGACTTAAGCCCTGGAATCACATGCATTCTTCATCCAGAGCTAGTCCCCTTGCATCACTTCTGCAATCACTTGTGGCCCAAGTCACATTAATAAAAGCTTTGCACTGAACCCTACCTAGCAATATGGTAGCAATTTTCCTGGTGAGCAAAGATGATCTTTGACATCCTTCTTTCATGGTGAGTCAGAGAATGTTACGTAAAGAACAGACTGTTAACTCTCTGACCTCATCCTTTTCAAAATAATGAGAATAAAGAGAGAATAAGACCAAGAATTGGGTGATTTAGAACAGTTTTTAAAGGATAGATAACCTAGAGTAGTAGAGAAATAGAGTAGGGAGTAAAAGGAGGGGATAAACAGAAATATCAACTTAATGTTTAATTAAGCCACAATTTATGCCTCTATTTATTACTTACCATAATAGAGGTAAATAATAGAGACACAAAGGCATAAATATATAGTACAAATGTATCTCATTTGTATGTTATGTTTAAAGTTATTAATGGGAAATAACACACATTTTCCTATTTGTTTGCTTTATTATTTAAAAAATGATTTATCCTCAATTGTCTTTATCCCTCAGCATTTAAAGTAAATGTAAAATCCTCTGGAACAAACAGCACCTGGCTCTAAATTAACACCTAAAAGAATCTGAAACTGTCAATGAGTAAAGAAGATATTTATATAATAAATTTATATTTCTCCTGCCTACCTCAGAAGCAATTGTTAGAATCAAGTGGAATAATCTTTGAGTACTTTGACAAGTATGAAGTGCTATTGAAATGGGAAGTAATAAGATCACATACTATTTCCTGAAAGAGCACACTCTCTTTTTACATTGCTTCTAGATGCTAATAGAGAAAAATATTTTTCATAAATCAATATGAACATGTGATTTAGGGGATCTTTTCATGGTAATGGAAAATTTTATGACAAAATAATTATGAAAATGAAACTGTGATATTTGATGCCATAACAAAAACCTATTTTTACTAGTTGCTATATTTATTTTGTAACCAATTAGGAAAGTTTACATGTATAGAAGTGCGATTCCATCTTGAACGACAAATGGGATACTATCTGATCCAGATGTACATTCCCAGCCTCCTGATTGTTATTCTATCCTGGGTTTCCTTCTGGATCAACATGGATGCAGCTCCAGCCAGGGTAGCTCTGGGAATAACCACTGTGCTAACTATGACCACACAGAGTTCAGGATCACGAGCTTCCTTACCAAAGGTAAGTGCACTGAATAGACTAGACGTACATATATTTTCACGTGTAAAGATATCATTTTTGGCTTTTGTCAGATCATTTTCAATAGCATTTATTATTCATTACCCATTTTCAAAGTAATAGGTAACCAGGGCAGAAAACTTGTAAAAAAAAAAAAAAAATCAATGAAGGAAAAAATTCTACACTGATAGCTGTTTGCATTGATATATATTGCCAAATTTACCTCTAGAAAAACATTATAGCAATTATACTCCCACAAGTATTGTATCAGACTGCCCATGGTGCTGTACCCTAAGCCAAATATGGTATTTATCATTTTTGTGGGTTTCCCCCCTTTGGCTTTTAAGTAGCTACAGGTCAATAGGAAAGACAGCTTATCTAATTCCATGATTTTAGTCCATGCTGAGCTGCCAGAATTAAAATAAAACTGTTCCCTCTGTGAGATTTGTAAAAGACTCATTATTTCTTTCCATAAAATATTCTGAAATAAAACACAGGAAGTTCTTTTCATCCATTTAGCTGCATAGAAATATAAAATTATTTTCTTTCCCTAAAATGACTTCTAAGAAGTTTCTGTCACCTAAATTTAGTAATCCTTCTTGGAATCTTTACTATTATTTTCATTTAAATGATGTACTTCATATAATAAAATCATATTAACATTTCTTGTACATTTGATGCTATCTTCTTGCCATAACAAGTAAATTATATTAATAAATCTACTGTCAGCGCTTCCTTAGCCCTTTCTATGAGTTGCATTCGATGATTCAATTTTTTAGATTAAAATGCCTACATAAATAAAAGTTGGCAGCAGGATACTTTATTATTAAAAATATTACTTAATATAGGAAGAACTTGTTATATAACATGTTCACTCTACCGCACTAAGATTTAATACTTATCCTTCAAAATAATGCCTACTTTTATAACACTTATATTTTCAAATGGTCTATAATAGCTGATACCATCAACTAGTGTTTTATAAAATATTGTCTATGTGAAAATTATAAATCTGTTTATAAGTTTGAACTAATAAGTCTCAATGCTTATTTATATATATATATATATATATATATATAAATGTCATGAGGGCTCTGGGTAATAGTGGAAATTTCATAGTTAATTTGTAAAGGAAATCACCAGTTTACTCATTGATCCTCATGAGATAAACAGAAATGAAATTTCATTTGTTCTGCATGTTATCAACCAGGAAGAAGAGAGCAAAATGCTCCATTTCAGGAATCTACAGCTTCTATGAGGCACAGCAGAAAAGCACTTAGATACAGAGAGTTAAGTAGAATTGGGGAAGCATGCAGGTGTGAGCAGTGAAATCAGAAATAAAGAAAGCAATAAATATAAAAGACAGAATGGAGGCGCAAGTTTTTTTTTTTTTTGAAAAAAAAAATGTGAAAGCAAGGTCTAGGATGGTTCCATACTTTTTCTCAAAAAATAGGAGACATTTTTTTAAAAGGCATTAATTTCACCAAGATCTCAGGGAAGAAATAAATTTTCAACCATGAGTTCAACTATAACCATACATGTATACAAAGCCTCTTCATCTCTCTGATCATAGAGACAATGACCTCTAGAATTGTGATGACAGGTGTCACTCTGACCCACAAAAACAACTGATTGGCAAAGTGAGATCTTAAGAGAAGATGACCAGATCATCTCAGACTTTGTGATAGTTAAGGAACAGGAGGTTTAGTTACATACATTGTATTTTAGGAAGGCAGACCCTGAAGACCCAGGATAACCAACAAGAATCAATCTATGGGATGAGACCATTCAAAAGAGTAGAAAATCTCTTGAAAAATGCAATTCTTATTCTGTGACTTTTTTGGGCTAGAAAAGCAGGAGATGAGGACTCACACTTGCATTTAGGAACAGATGTCTAAGACCATGCACCTTAAAATCTGTGTTCCCAACCTCACAAAAGAACCCTCAGATGCCTGAAAGTCTTGCAACTAGAACATTCACCATTCACCTGCTGACAAATTCTAGAAAGTAGAGAAAATAAATACATTCAGGAAAATAGATCATCAAACATAGGAGGAAGAAACAATAAATCATTGATTTAGAGTAATTACTTAGTGTTTTGTCTGGGCTCTGTGCCAATACATCTCCTGTAGGATAAGAAGGCGCTTGGAAATCAGTCAAGTAAGACTCAGAGACTAAAATCTCAAAGAATATACACTTTAACCAGCTCCTTGAAAACCAGAGATGAGATTCCGCTATGATATCCTCTATGATATTTTCCATTGCACGGGCCTCTACAATGTCATGATAAATGAAGAATGTAATGGCCCAAAAGCAAGAAGGCTCCTGTGATTCATTCCTTAGAAGTTGGAGCTATTGTGCAATTCTGCAGTGTCTGTATCAGGTGGCCAGAAGAGGGTGACATGCATTCTACTCCCAGAAAATTTTCCATGTTATATAACTTTAGGAGAACTTCCTCATACCATGTGCTTGGAGCAGCAAGTGAGAAAAAATAGTGATGATCATGGGGCCATATATGGAGGGCTTTCTAGAGCTTGGTAATGATTAGGTTTATTGTGGGTGTAGCAGTAGGCCACTGAAAACTTTTAATGAAGGCAGCGATCACTCTGACTTCTTCATGAAGATCAGCTAGAAAGAGCAGGGAAACTACCAAGCGAGCTACTGAAGTCCATGGCGATGATCTCCTGGTGAGATGAATAGCAGCAGAGACAGAGAGTAGCAGCAGATGGATTTACAAAGTAGATATTTTTGAGAAAATGTATTTGGACATGAAACAGACAGGATTTCCTTCTGAATTGAGGATTCAGGAATTCAAGAGTCAAGAATGGTGTTCAAGTGAGTAACCAGGCAAATAGTGGTGACGGTTACTGACAGGGAAGGTTGAGGGAGAGGGTGATCCAAGTTTCTCTTTTGAACATGTTAACTTTGAGATGTTTATGGGGCAACTGCACGGAACTGTCAAAAACTATGAACTTCTAAAGTTATGCCCAGGAATACCTAGGCCTCAGATTTTAGGGAGTAAACTGCAAATGGATAGGAAAGCAGATCAGAGGTGATTTTTCTAAAAATGAAAGAAAGCCCAGAAATAGGGGTAAAGAAGATGTATTTGGGGTTGGCTCTCCTCCTACAGCTGAAAAATTTTTTCTCTCCTTTCGTCCTCTAGGGCCATCTGTACCCTTAAACAGAGTATGTTAGACAGTCTTGGTTAAAGGCAAGACCCACACACCCTAAAACTTTTCTCCCAAATTCTTTGAGATCCCAACATTTTCTGATCTTTACTTAGGTATGGAAAAGCAATCCTCCTTAAGGAGATTAGGCTTTAACCAGGGGTGAAAGAGGGAATAGATACAATCACTCAATTGTTTTTCAGTACGAATTTGATTTATACTAATACCCAGTTAAAATCTTGGCAATGCAAGAATTATATTTCTTTGTTAAGTATGGGGATGTGCAGGAATAGAGAAAATCAATAGAAGAGATAAAATATAATTTAATTTGGAAACTCTGGGTTCTAGAAATAATTCATATTAGAGAACTCTGGAGAAATTTTGACTATGTAGCTCTATTACATAAACCTTACCCTTTCTTTTCTAATCTCAACAATCAACTCATTTCTATGAAAGACCTACCCTTGTCCCTTTTTTCTTCCTGTTTCATAGAGACCAGCTAAAGATCAGCTTTGGTACATGTTTTTTGTTTCGTACCATCTGCATAAGTACACAAGCATCACTGTGCATACACTAGTTTAGTCTTAAAACAGAGATTCAAACCTATTACCGTATCAGGCTAGGCACAGTGGCTCACGTCTATAACCCCAGCACTTTGGAAGGCCAAGTTGGGAGGATCACTTGAGACCAGGAGTCCGAGGCTGCAGTGAGCTATGATCACACCACTGCACTCCAGCCAGCGCAACAGAGCAAGACCCTGCCTCTAAAAATAATAAGAAGAATTAAAAAAACCCTATTACCATATTAGGGACCTTTGAACACAGGATATCACATGTGCACACTGCACACATTCACACATAGATATAAACTTGGCAGGGTGGGAGAAGTCTCTAGATTCAAGTTCATAACAAACCCTAGCTCTTAACACAATATGCTATGAGATTCTTGGTGATTGGGGATGCTTCACTCCAGTTTAGCTGCAATTATTCTGCATAACAAATAATCCCCAAATCTCAATGGCTTCCAACATTCATTCTTGCTCACGGGCCTGTGAGTCACCTGTGTTGCTTCTGAGCTTGCCTGAGATTGGCTGTGTTAGAGTGGGCTTGGATTAGGCTGTGGAGTGGGTTCGGGTCCGCTCCCTGGGTCTCCTCATTTGGGGACAACAGGTAACAGTAATACGTTCCTTCTGTTGGGGAGTGCAGGAAAGCAAGAAGGCAAGCAGAAACATGCAAGGCTTTTGCTCAGAACTGGCCCACAGTCACTTCTGTTCTCAGTCCATAAATCAGACCAAGTCTCGGGGTCAACCCCAACGTCCGCGGGGTGGGGGAGTGTCCTCCACCCACAGGGAAGCTTTGGAGAGGAAGAGAAAGAAAAAGGATCGTAAACAAATCATCTTGTCCGCCTCAGGGCAATGATTTGTAAAAGTTTTCTGTCTCCTTTCTTAGACTACACAGTGGCTTATTAGTAGAATAAATACTCAAAAGAATGAGAGGGGAAGAAGGGATAGAGAGGGGAAAGAGGGAGGAGTTCCAAGGAGATACTTTGTGGATTTCTCTCACTTTGCCCCCACCACTGTGACCGGCTCATTCAGAATACAGCTACCAAACATTAACAAGTAAGGAGTGCATGAAATCTCAAAGATGGTTAATTCAGCAAATATTTTACAGGAGCTCAGAAGCCTGCAGCCTATGGAAATTGCAAATTCTGCACCAGAACAGTTTATCCTCAATAATTACTTATAATTACAACAATTACCTATACCTCAGGGTTCCTCTCATTTTCCGCCTTTCAATCTGTCTGTGAAACCGACCAGGAATAGCTTTTTGAGGGGAC